TGCAAATGGGAGTCCCGACATAAGAAGGACTAGCAAGCGCTGAAGGACTTGCTCTCATCAGCAGAGCTCCTGGCGCACTATGATCCTGACAAGCCGCTCTTCTTGTCACTCGATGCCTCTCCCTACGGTTTAGGAGCCGTACTTGCCCAGCTAGACAACCAAGGCCGCGAAGCTCCCATTCCTTACGGATCTAGAATGCTAAGAAAGAGTGAAAGGAACTATGTCCAGCTTGACAAAGAAGGGTTGGCAATAGAGGTCGGAGTTAACACATTCATCAGTATATTTCTGGAAGGTCCGTCACAATATACACTGACCACAAGCCCCTGCTAGGCATCCTGAACTCAGACAGGCAGATGCCACTGATACTGTCCCCGAGAATGCTACGCTGGTGCCTGCATCTCTAAAACTACGACTATGACCTGGTTTACCGACCCGGTGCACTCCATCAAAATTCAGATGTCCTGAGCCGTCTTCCACTGCCCAGCAACGTGGACGAACTACACGGTCCAGCAGACATCCTCATGATTGAGGCGCTTGAGACACCATCCCTCTCAGTAAAGGACATAGCCCGATTTACGGCAAAGGACCTTTTCCTGGCGAAGGTCATTTAAGCCGTCCAGTCCGGAGCCTCCAAATGCTTGACTGGAAAACAGTTCGCAAGGTATATTAGTCAATTTAACGAGCTATCGACCCACAAGGGATGCGTCTTTTGGGGATCACGTGTGGTTATTCCGAAGGAGGCACAGCCAGCAGCCATAAAACTCCTGCACGCAAACCATCCAGGAATAACAGCCATGAAACGCTGTGCACGAAGTCATCTTTGGTGGCCTGACCTCGACAAAGAAATTGACAGGTGCGTCCAACTCTGCTCAAAGTGTCAGCTACAAGTAATCGTTCCTGTTGCAGCACCAAGTCCAACTTGGGAACGCCCTCAGGAGCCATGGAGTCTACTTCACATTGACTTCGCCAGTCCTTTTGAAGAAAACATGCTTCTGATAGTTGTTGACGCATATTCCAAATGGTTGAAAGTCCACATCTGCTCGTCAGCAACTGCTGCCGCCGTCATTGACGCCCTCCGATTCATGTTTGCCACATTTGGCATCCCGAAAGTCGTCTGCAGCGACAATGGCACGCCATTTTTCGCCAAGGACACCAATCAATTCATGGAAGCCAATAACATTCGGCACATCACAAGCGCCCCCTATCACCTGGCAACCAACGCCCAAGCCGAACGAATGGTTCGGGAAACAAAGGAGTCGTTTTGCAAACTTTTGGAAGGAAGTCTGAACTGCCGATTGGTACGGTTCTTGTTTAAGCAACATACAACACCAATCTCAACAACTGGGAAAACACCACCAGAGTTTATGTTCGGTTGACAACTGCTTTGCCCATTGGACAATATTCATCCGCGGGGTAAGGAAGGGGAAGAAGGCTACAAAGACGCTAAGTTCAGCAATTCACAAGCCGTCTTTATTAAGGGATTCGCGGGACAACCGGAATAGATAGAAGCTAAGGTGCTCCGCCAGGTTGGTTCCCGATCATTTGAAGTAACGACTTCAGATGGAAGAATACAAAGAAGAAACATCGACGACATGCGAAGTCGGTTAGCCCATCATTCGGAAGAATGCAGTTTAATATCGTCTCGAATTTCAAGTTATCCTGTTTTCGACTCGGATACCGATGAACAAAAATATGTATGTGCCTCGGGCCAGGCATCTTCATATACGGAATCCTCAACGGCAAATACCTCTGGCGCGTTTTCACTTCCAGAGCCTACACCGATGATCAGGGGACAGGGCTCTGCCATGCCAAATACAGAAATACTGAACCGACATCAGAAAGTTCTCCTGAACCATCTTCCTCGTCTGTTCCGGTTCCTCAACCCAGAACACGCCCCAAACGCGTTACAAACAAACCAGTTCTTGTTCGAGAAACTGATTAGTTTTATCGAAAAAAGGGAAGCGCTACGATGGGACTTCGTCATCTTCATTCAGCAATTGCCAAGACGCGCGGCCTCAGCTCGGGCCACGCCTCACGCACAGTTCCTAATTGAGCTAGCGACATATCGATCTCCACTGAACATTATATATATATATATATATATATATATATATATATATATATATATATATATAAAGAAATATGTGCAGATAAATGAACCGTATATTGGGAGGCCCAGAGTTCAAATCTTGGCTCCGCTAATCTTTGGCTTTCGGCGGGTTCCTGAAAACTTTGATTCTTTGATTAATTGTATAAAGCACGGTTCATTCATATGCACATATTTGTTTATATCCTCCTCGGAGACTACGTACGATGGTGTGAAGTGCCCGTGTTGTATGTATATATATATCTATAGGGTGTTTTTTTTTTGGCTGCACCAAATTAAAAAAAAAGAGCTGCGTAGGGCATTTTTAGTTATGCCATCAGCATACCCGACCTGGCGCCTACTAGGAACAAAGTATTTTTGTCAACTAGGTGGTTAATTAACGGATATCTCTTAATTTACTTTTTAATTATTGCTTTTAGAGGGCCTATTGCATTTACGAAATTGAAGCTTAACCTTAATATGCTCCAACCCCACAGCGAAATAAAGACACAAAAAATTTCTGCGCGCGTTTCTGGCTGAATAATTTCATTCCCGCATGCACTTTCAAAGCTAAACTGACCAGAACAAGAGCGTCAATGGCATCGATATCTTCGCCCTCGCTTGGCATCACAGCAGTGACGTCACCTGTGATGCAGGCACTGCCGTCAGCGCTATTGCAATACGTTGCCTTCTACTTAGTGTTTTGCTTACCGCGGCAGGTGTAAATCACGATGTCACAGCGGGCATCGTGACGCTACCCTTTCCTTTCGTTGATATGATAGAAGCTGCTCTGAAGACTTGTGCCAATGGTGCTACAAAGCGACGAACGCTGCGTCACTTGCTCCTCTGTTGTAGAAGACACAGGTTTGCACCCATATCTTTGGAAGGACGAAGGCTACAAATAACACAAGCGCTATGCGATTCATAGTGCTGTGCCTTTCTTTCTCTGACTGTGGCAGGAAACACATCTGAATGGCGTCGCTCATTGCGACAAGGCTTTCGGTTGAAGAAAAAACAGACATGGTGATCGCATATTTAACTATGCAAAAGAATGCTCGTCATCCTGCTCAACTTTATGCCGCTCAGCACCCAGGTCGCTTTGCTCCTGCCCACACTTCCTTCATTCGCGTTTTCAACAAGTTTGCATCAAGTGGCACTGTGGTGAGTGGGCGAAGACAGAAAAAATATGTCCTTAGCCGCGAATTCGAGACTGACGTTCTCGCGTACGTAACAGCTAAGCCTGAAGCAAGCGTGCGCGAAATTGCGAGGTCTTCTGGGACAACAATCTCTACAATGTGGAAAGTGCTTGTGAAGCATCGTATGCATCCGTTTCCCGTTAGCCTGCACCAAGAGCTACATGGCAGTGACTTCCAGCGACGACTGGACTTTTGCAATTGGGCCCTGATTGAAATTGACCGGGATCCTGGATTCTTGAAAAAAATTATTTGGAGTGATCAGGCACAATTCTGCAGAAATTCAATGGTGAACCTTCACAATGCCCATTTCTGGGCAAGCGTAAATCCTCGTTGGCTCCGTCAGCACAAACATCAAGTGAGATGGTCAATTAGCGTATGGTGTGGAATATTTAATGATAAAATCATTGGCCCATATTTATTTGACGGCACCCTGAACGGAAAACTATACACGGGGAGAATCCTTGAGGGAGTCGTGGTAGAGTTTATTGCTGGCCTGCCTCTCAGCGTGCTGAAGGAGACGTGGTTTCAACAGGGCGGCGCTCCGGCGCATTCTTCTTCGCGTGCTGTTCGATTTCTACACCGAACTTTTCCAGAGCAGTGGATTGGACGCAGTGGTCGAGTACCGTGGCTGGCACGATCGCCAGATCTGAGCCCGTTAGATTTTTTTCTTTGGGGTTATGTGAAGAATGAAGTCTACGCCACGGAACCCATTAGCGTGGACAGCCTGAAACAAAGAATCGTCGCCGCCTGTGCCGCAGTTCAACCTGAAATGCTCGAGCGCGTGTTGTGTTCCATGCGGAGCCGACTGATGATGTGCGTTTTTGTAGATGGACTCCAATTCGAGCGCTTGCTTTGAACGCAACTGTTTCCAACTTCATAAAGTGGCCAGGCGGCGGCAAACGCTGGGTGGCTTATCACGTGCCCGAATCCCTTTGGCTGCCAAGCTTTCTTTTTTTTTTTTTTTTTAAATACCAAAATGCTCTAAGCCATTATTTTGCCTGCTTTTCTCGACGAACTAAAAGTTTTCCGAAGAATATACTGGTGCTGTGAAAAATGCTAATTTGGGGCTCTAAGTTAGACGTCAGCGTTGGTAAACTAAATAATACTGAAATATTAAGCAGAGAGACGGACAGTGGAATAACAGAGAGCTGGACGGAACGAGGCACGAAAGCACGAAAGATGCGTTGTTCTGTCCGTCCCTCTGTTTATTCTTTCAGTATTATTTGGGGCTCTAAGTGAGGCAGTAAAACTTAGTTCTCAACAGTGCCCTGTTTGAGCTACACTTGAAAAAGCGCCGATGCCGTGTCCACACTGTGCCGCGCACAGCACATGACTACAGTAACGTGAGCCAGGAAGCCGGTGCAAGGCTCGTTCCTCATTTATTAACAGCCCATAAAACATATATATATATATATGAAATAAAATTCTCCCGTTCAACAAATGATATATCACGGGCGTAAAAAAACAACGCCCCTCCCAAGCCCCCCCAGGAAACTAACACAAAAGTATCATGTGAGTGCTTAGAATATACGCACCCTAATGTTTCTAAATTAATTCAGACAATAATCAACCTAATATTGTTTTCACAGGTGGATTTTTTGGCGACAAGATAAAAGCACTGAGAGACAAAATGGGATGAGCAGCTTTATGTGCTCACAACAAAAGGACGCCTGCGCCATGCGGTTGACGAAATATATCAAATGACGCCAGAACCTTTGAAATAAAAAGGAGATACACCTCCAGAAAGAACCTTTATTCGCGCACATTTTTAATGGGCTTATTTATTTTTTTGTGTGTGCGAAAACTTCGGTTCGACGTGGCGAGGGTGGCCACACCTGGAAGAAAACGTCTGTCATATTGTGTGTATCGGCGGCGGTTGGTATTCAAGCTTTCTCGCTATTGAGCCAGACTATTTATCTTTGAAAGTCTAACGAAATGTACTCAGAAGGCTTTTGCCACACTCCTTATGGTACTCTGGGCAGAATTCTTCGTCTTTGGAACACGAGACGAAGAATCTCGCTTGTTTCGAGAGGGGCTGTGGTCCTCCAGGCTGTCTGGATCCAATGCTTGAACTCCGAAGGATTCCCTCTTTCCTCCCCAGGGACTGAAGGAGCTGTCCTTGTTGTCATTGTCCCTCTTGCCTCCCCATGGATTGAAGTTGTTGTCTCGCTTGCCTCCCCATGGGGCGAACGCAGTGTCGCTGTCCCCCTTCTTCCCGCCCCAGGGGTTAAAGGGACCTTCTCTTTTCCCACCCCAGGGCGAGAAGGTGCTGTCCTTAGTCGTCTTTTTGCCCCCCCAGGGATTGAAGTTTTGGTCCCTCTTTCCTCCCCAAGGTGAAAACGCGTTCTTGTCTTCTTCTTTACCACCCCAGGGGTTAAAAGGATCCTCCCTTTTTCCTCCCCAGGGATTGAAGCCGCTCTCTTTGTCCTGCCTCTTGCCTCCCCAGGGCCCAAAGGTGTACCGCTTGCCTCCCCACGGACCAAAGGTGTCCCTTTTTCCTCCCCACGGACCAAAAGTATCCCGTTTACCTCCCCACGGACCAAAGGTGTCCCGCTTGCCTCCCCACGGACCAAAGGTGTCCCGCTTGCCTCCCCATGAACCAAAGGTGTCTCGCTTGCCTCCCCAGGAACTAAAACTTCCCCTTTTCCCTCCCCATGGGTTGAAGGACAGTTCCTTGTCCTTGTCGTTCTCTCGCTTGCCACCCCACGGATTGAAGGCCTCGTCCTCGGGCTGCTTGTCGCCTCGTCGCTCACCCATTGCTCTGGGCGAGTGGAGCGCCTTGTAAAGATACAGCGGCCCAGAGAGGCGGTGCGCGGTTGGCAGTGCCTGGTCCAGGACGCCTCTCTTGCCACCCCAGGGGCTGAACTGGCGCTTGAAGGACTCCGAACGCATGTGCTGCAGCGTGGCGGGTGAGATGTTCCAGCGAATGAAGCTCTCGCCGACCCTGGACGATCTGCCCAGGTCACCGCTGCCGCTGTCCACATCCTGGCACAGCCCTCCCATGCTCATCAGGAACGTGGTTGCCAGCAGGGTCCATAGGAACCGAAGTTCCTGTTGAAAACAAAAACATATATTGCTTTAGCAAACCCTTTCATATATAAGAAAATCCACTTGACAACTAAGACGCAAGCAGATATGCTTGCACTATTGTCGGATAGGCAACTAGTGGTAGTTACATATAAAGAACCAAATGTCAAAACAGTTATCCGAGGAATAAAAGTTTTTTTTCCGCCACACCTTAAGAAACTTAGGGTAGCAAATTGGAACAGTTGGTAAACGTTGTACATGACGGGGATGAGCAACTCTGTAAACACAGACCAAATAAAATGTACACGGATAGCAGGTTGTGTTGTTCCTTCGTCTGCGTTTACCGAGCTGTTTATCCCAACCATGCACAGAACACATTACCCACACGAAACAATTTGGCCTCCTCTCGATTTATCCTGCTCCTCTTTTTATCGCGGGCATCCACGGGTCGCGGAATGAGGCGCTCACTGAATGTGTCTCAATCTTCACAATGTCTTGCAAGAGGAACGAGTGGACTGAAGAGGCGATGGCTGAACAGAAGCGGCGAATAGCAAAATGATCTGAGCCAGCGAAATTTGAATCCGGTTCTTCGGCGTAGTTTGTCAAAGAACTGGCAACAGTCGGAACAGAAGTGGCGACATAATGAATACGACCGTGTTCAACGTGGCGAAGAGGCGCCGGGGGGAGGGGGGGGGGGGAGGAGAGAGCAACGTTTGCCTAGAGGAATATGCACGAAGTCAGCTCTGTTAGGTCACGGCGCGGTAGTGGCGCGTCCGGCGCACTTCCGGTCTGGGGCTGCGGACGGAAGTCACCATGCACAAGATGTGCATTCCTGTATTTTTCTGCAAGATACCAGACAAATACCTGCCTTCTCGTCAAAACGCCGCGACTGAGGCTGTACCAAAAGAGTCGGGAAAGGTTTAAAGGTCAGTTTTCATGTGCTCGGTTCGTCCGAGAACGTGGATAAGTGCCGTGAAAAAGAAAAGCCAGACGGCGTCGGACCACAATTGGTTGGGCGGAAAGCACTTAGGGTTGAATTTACAGATAATTGTAATCATCAGATTTATTCATTTTATTCCAACATGAACGCGTGAAAACAGTCATGTTGTACGGACCACCTGAGGACTACGTTCAGTACGACTTCAAGTTAAAACAACCGCCTGATTGTTCGAAGTGTCGTGTGCTCTTTCAAACGTTTCTGCTTGTCGTCTGCTCTTTCAAATGACAGCGGCCCGCAGACCAAATGTTGACCCGGTAATTGCGGTGAGAAGTAAGTGCAGGCCTAAAAAAGGCTTTTAAGCTTGAAAATGGTTGGAGCAAGTACGCTTGATGTAAACTCTAGATGCAAGATGTTGATCATTGTTACCAGTGGCCACCACCGACTTGTTATGGCTGATTCACTTGGTCTGATTCTGCTTGCGATTTTCAGTATCGACGTCAACCATCTCAGCTGTGGGTCATGATTTTGCAGCCCGGGCGACGTCGCAACTCAAAATGAAGAGCGGAGAGTATCAGGTTTTAGCGTCCATACTGCGGTGTCCACGCGGAATGAATCACCGCATGTCACATTATTCACGCAAAGTTTTGCGGTGTAAAGAGCATCGTTAATTTTGCTGAGTCCGCTCAAGTAGTCAGGCACTGCAGAAGACGTAGAATCAACAATTCCAACGCGATAAAGAACACGGGGACTCGCACCGACGCCGACAACGTTGCATTTCAATGGTTTGTTTATGGGCGACGGCGAGCCTCTTGTCCACACTCCACTGTGCATGCGCGGCGCGGGTAGCGTCCGTTAAGGGCACTCCAGTTTGTTTGTAATCATGAGTCGGTCTATACCAGGGGTGGCCAAGCCGCGGCTCACGAGCCGCATGCGGCTCTTTGCTGGTTCAAGTGCGGCTCGCACATCCTTCGTGAGGGGAGCCCCTCCCCCCCATCCTTCCCCCCCCCCCTCCTTCGCCCCTTTCCGCGTCTCCCCAGGAAAAAAAAAGTAAACAAAGAAAGGATTTCAGAATAAAGCACACTGCAGCTTGCATTTAAAACGACAGGACGCGAAGACACGAAGACGACAGGACGGGCGCTACCCGCGCCCGTCCTGTCGTCTTCGTGTCTTCATTGTCCTTGTTGTGTTGCGCTTTTTAACCTTTTAAATCAGTATGAACCAACTCGCCCAAACACAAGTTTTAATGCAGCTTGCAGTTTGGCAGCCTTGTGCTCCCATACGTACAGTCGTACAGCCTTGTGCTCCCACACGTACAATCAGGCTCTAAAAAAACAATTACACCATCTTCCCGAGGGGAACCATGGGGTGATGCGGAGCATCGCGGATCGTTATTAACGGTGTTAGTAACGTTGTTGAACTTCACGGTCCCGAACCTCAGGTTCTGCTGCTCGACGTTCACAAACCAACGCGGCTTCCCGTTCTCGAAGGTCGGGTTCCGCCGCTCGCTTCGTACGTTTACGTTGAACTTCACGGTCCCGAACCTCAGGTTCTGCTGCTCGACGTTCTCGAACCGCCGCTGCTTCACGTTGTCGTAGTTCAGCATCCGCCGCTCGACGTTGACGAATGGACGCCGCTTCTCGTTGCCGCAGTTCAGGGTCTGCCGCTCACTTCAAGCGTTTGCGCTCAGCGTCGCGTGCCCTTCGCTGCGCAGCTTTGTCTTCAGTGGACGTACCGTTACTCTTAGTTTGTGGGGGGTGCTGACGCTTGCTTGCGCCAACCCACTAACTGACGGGACTGTTATTGCTTCCATCACACTTCATCGGAAGAACGGAGTGAAGTGGAGTCAACAACGGTGAACTGAATGCGCGCAAAAAAAAAATTGGCTTGCTCTTATGTTTATACAGCCTTGATGGAGATGCGCCTCAACGGGTAATCGGTCTCTTAGCTGTAGATGAGAAATTTGGCCAGTGCGGTACAACTGCTAACCTGGGGTTTTTAACGTGCATCACGCAGTAGGGATCACACGAACGCGTGCCGGTACGAAACTCATCCAGATCGAAACGGGCGGGGGCGGCGGGGATCGAACCCAGGAGGTTCCCAGCGCAAGCTTTCGCTGAATGCGCGCAGCGGCTACCGCTGCTTATATTCACACTTGAAGGAGAGGAGACTACAGGAGGAGAGTTGCGCAGGCGCGCGCGGTGTGAGTAGAAGCGAACGCACGCGAAGTGCACGCAGCTGGTAGAGAGAGAGAGCGGAGAGAGTAACGCGCAGCTGTTGGAGAGAGTTAAGGAGGAGAGTTGCGCATGCGTAGTGTGAGTGCGGACTACGACGCCGCGGGACAACGACCCGAGCAAGAGATGCTCCGCATCTAAAAAAAATTAACCCTCCCCCCCTCCCCCCCCCCCCCCCCCCCCCCCACCCGCGGCTCTTAGAAGTTCCGTGGTTTTGCTTGCGGCTCTTAGGCCAGGTCCGCCTGGCCACCCCTGGTCTATACCTTCCATAGAGAACAAGAAACGCTATCGAATTTCGACATGGTCTGCCGCCAAGCAACCGCAGCAATACAGCCTCGTTTTTTTTTCTCAATTTAGGCACACGCGCTCGTCTTCTTCCACCATCTGACTATCGCGTGTTCTTTGGTGGTACCCTGCCCGGGCCGTGCATAGCTATTCTTGACTTTTAATTGGTCTCGTACAATTTGAATAATTTTATTATGGCCTGTGGGAGGCCGTTTCGAATGAGTTACTCTAGCTTCGAAAGGATTGTTCGTTCGGTGCCTTTTTTATTCGGAAATAGTTTATCACCTGCAGCCTGACAAAATCGTCATAGAATGCAAGTTTCTTGTTTGTGTTCCTGACCTCACAAAACTAATCATAAAATGGGATTTGTTGGAAATTATTGCAGGCGTACAGTCAGTCACAACAGCACGTCCTACGTGCTGCAAATCTGGCAAGAGGAAGCCGCCCCAGACTGTTACTTGGTCGAACAAGATCTTCCGACGTTTCTTTCAGCAAAGTAGTTGTAACCTTGTCGTGAGAACAGCACAGCCTAGCAGGTTGACAACTTTGTAAGGTAACTTGTTTCTTGATTGGCAGCGATAGGTCGTCGTACAGAGTAGAAGTACAGATAATTTATTTTAACAATGTAGCATTTGCAGAGCCTCAGTGTTTTCTATCTCTGAAAGTCTCAAGGCTACCATTAAACCTTCAAAGCCAAAGTAGTGAGGCTCGTTTTGATAGCAACATGGTGAACATACCTTGTTCATAATAACGATGACAGACGTGAGCGTTAATAGTGATGAAAAGCAGCCGAAGGTATAAGCGCAATTTGAACTTTCCTTGCAGAAGTTTTAATAAGTATTAGTGCTTTCTTCGCTTAGACATTACTTAAACTGAGAGAGGGAAAGAAAAAGAAGAAAAGAAAGTGAGTGTTTGTACTGACGATAATTATCGTTTAATTGGTTATTTTATTTGGGAGAGAAACATATCAATAAAAAAATTTCAATATATATGCATATGACATAAGAGGTGATGTTTAAACTCGCAGGAACATACTCACATGAGAGTATAACGCTGATTACGTACTCGTTGTAGACGCTACCAATAGACCTTTTCATTGTAGTAGTCGCCTCACCGGCGGACAGAGGGCGCTGACGCACTCGGCGCCATTAGGTTGCTTCAATTTGGTTGGTTTCGGTTTCAACGTGAGCGCGGCTATGTTGCTGTTTTACGCTGTTTTTGCTTAGCTTTGCGATACGATTATTTTCCTGGTAGCACACAACCAATGAAACAGTAGTATTGAGCCACTTTGATGACTACGAGGTGTATTTTAGATTAAATTGTGGGCTCTTTTTACCAACTCCTTTGATGTATCTGATTATGGTCGGTTGCGAAACGCCTGACTGATGTACAGGGAAGATTACCATCGTGTATAACCGTACCCGATGACACCAGTTTCCAGAAAAACAAACTAATAAAAAAATTGACATGTGAATGTAAAGGGGGGAAGCATATCGACAGCTTGGTTAGCAATATTCTGAATCGGCCAGAACAGATGAACTCGCGAGTTTACAACTCACTGTTTGGTT